TTGATGATTATTAGGCTGTAAAACTGGCGATGACTCAAACCTCTTTAATACACTAAATGGTTGTATGTTCCTCATCTGTAGTCTCTGTTTTCTACAAAGCTATCTGGCCCAAGAGAGTTGCAGCTATAACAGCTTCAACTTTTCTAGGAAGTCTTTCCACAAGCCTCAGGAGTGTGTTTTTACCGTTCTTCCAGAAGCACATTTGTGAGGTCAGACTGTCTAAGGAGCTTGGAAAGAAAAGCGTCTGGACTTCTTTGAGTTGCTTGAACGCGTTTCACCTCTCATCCGAGAAGCTTCTTCAGTTCTAAGGTCCCAGATTTAAACCCAGTGGGAGTTTCCCCCCAAAGAGGGACAAAGGACCCCCTGATGGTCCTCTACCTAATCACATAGTCACAGTCTCCACTATAAGTCATCCCAAAGGTGTTAACACAAGCAAATCTGAAAGTATTGCAAGAAAACTAAATCTTGAGTAAGATTAGCTGATTCATCCAAATGCTGGGGGCTGATAATGTAACTTAGCTTTCTGCTTTAAATAACTTTATCAGCTGTAGTTACAACAGTGGTTCCCAAACTTTTTTTGCTAGGCCCCCCTTTGTTTTATAAGAAAAATATTTCAAAAAAATGCTTCTCTGTGCAAAATGGGTTTAAAAACATAAACAGCTGTGGGATCCTGTTTGTCCGTGATTTGAAGAGCCCGTGCTCCCGACGCAGGGGAAACCAATCCTGCAGGGGAGACCTACCTCAGCACTTGTGCAGGTGAAGCCAAAGGGCAGCTATGCTTCACCTCCTGCTTTGCGTTTGTGTGGGAGCCCCGTGCTAGCAGAGTCCAAGCGTTTTTTTTTGTTTGTTTTTTTCCCTTTTCATACCCCCCCCCCCCCCACACACACACACACACACACACACACTTTGGCAAGGTCTGAGTTGCAACATAACCAGGTCTTATTCACTGTGATCTGATCGCTAGCTGTTCCTTAGCCGTGAATGTCGCAAACAGACCAAAACATTGACAGAGCGAGAGGGGAATGCCACACGGAGCATCTGCTGGAATGAAAAGAGTTAGGAAGCAACGTCTGTTTGGATTCACACATTTTTACTTTTGGACTTTTCCAGTTTTGTGAAAATATTCTGTTGACTGCAGCCGGCCTCCTCCCCCTCCATCATCTGCTACATTTTCTCCACCTCACTTTCAAACAGAGAAAAACTTGCACATAAAATAACACACGGTCCATAATTCAGCCAATAAAAACTTTGTACATACTACATACATACATACATACTTTTTTACCTCATTCTGATTGGGGTTTTCCTCTTTTTGGGGGTTATTTTACATTGTTTGCTGACTTTTGGGTTTTTTTTACGTTTGCTTTAATTCTTTTTGTGGGAATTTTGTTTCTTTTTGATGGCATTTTAAGTGTTTCTGTTAGTTTTTTGGATATTTTTCTTTGCATCTATGTTTGTGGGAATTATGCTCTTTCTGATAGCATCATTTCTGTTTTTTGTGGGCCTTTTACTTCCTTTTGTGGCATTATGGATGTTTTTTATTTCACTTTTTCCTGTTTGTGGGCATTTTATGTCTTTTTGATTGTGTTTTGATCTACTTTTAATCATTTTTAGTTTCTCCATTATTTCATTTCTTTTTCTGGTTGGTTTTTGGCCTCTGTCATGTTTGTATTTATTGTGTGTGGTTAATTTTGTCTTTTGGGCATTGGAGGTAATTTTGCTTCTCTTTGTGGGGTTTTGTTTTTAACTTAAAAAGAAACTTTTTACAAATGTTACTTCTGAAGGGATTATGTCTCGTATTTTAGTAATTTTCTGCCGCCTATTATTCTTCTGTGTTCTGTCCTGTGTCTCGTTTTCCATTGTTTTCATTTAAAGGCCTCTCTCTCAGGGTAAAAGACACACACAGGGCTGTAGTGAGTTATGTAAACATGTCAGAAAAATCAGACTTGAAGCTGTTGCCTGCAGGAAGAGTCACTCCGTGGAGTTTGTAATTCTTGTAAAAACCTGCTGTGAAAGCGTCGCGTAAACCAGGGCTAGTTTTTCAGAACATAGATTTAGTGCAGCCTTTATTCTGCACAGAAATTTGAAAAAGAAAACTGTGAAAGTTTTCCTACTTTCAGGTTGTATCTGGATCACATTTTTAACCTTCAGGGATGCTGACACTCAGCACATGTTAATGCCCTTTATTTGCTCCTGTGCACATGTCTGATTGACACGTCTGATATACTTGCATTACTTTGTTGTTTCATTAAAAATTCTACCGTTAAATTGAAATGAGTCAAAGCGTGAAATGTGGTGGTTCATGGTTATTTTCTTTTTACTCGTGTATATATTTTTAAAAAAAATTCTACTTTTTGTGCTAATCCTGTCTTACTTATTCCAGTCTTTCTTTTTCTTTTATTATGGATGTTTGCTTGTCCATGGTTTTATTCTATATTTTTAGTTTTTTCTGGTTGTCAGTTCTGATTATGTATTTTTTGAGGCCTTCATTATTTTCAGTAATGTGTTTTTGTCCTGTTTTGTTATTTTTGTTTTTTTTTGTTTTTCTTTAGGACATCGCTTATTTGTCTTTTTTTGTTGCGGTTTGCTTGCAATAAGAACTTTTTCTGCCTCTTTGTTGATGTTTTATTTTTCTTTCTTGTCAATTTGTTTCTTTGAAGCCATTTGAACTCTTAGTAAACAACATAAAATAACCCCCAAAAAGAAGAAAACCACAGTCAAAATGAGGTAAAACACTGGCAAAATGAACTTTTCACTTTTAAAGTCTTTTTTGTACTTATTTTTATTTTTTCACCTTTGTAGTAATTTTTGTTTCTGCTGAACGTTTTCGTGATTATTTTGATACTTTGTATTTATATTGCTTTCAAGTCTTTCTAGTTGTTTTGCTTTTTTGTGGTTGCTTCTGTGAGTGTGTCTTTAAACTCATTTGTTGCTTAACTTGTGTCTTTTCTTAGTACTTGCACGTTAGGCAGGCCTCTTCTCTTTCTGAGTTTAAAACGCTTCTTAAAACACATTAAGAGGTTAACTCAATTTGTTTTAACATATTTTATCTTATTTTTTTATTTTACTTTTACTTTGCTTGTGCTATTTGAACAGCACTTTGTGAACCCTGGTTTTATGTGAAAGTGCTTTATAAATAAAGCTGGTATTGAAGTTTAGCACTTTTATTTATTTGTTTATTTATAGGTTTTTTCTTCATGTCTCTAATTCCTGCTTTTTTTTTCCTTTTTCTTTTACATACCTTGTCTGTTTACTAGTCTTGCTTCTTTTTGGGGTGTTTTTGTGTCTCTGTATATTTGTTTTCACTTCTTTATGTTGTCACTTTTTGTTCTTTTCTCTTTCCAAGGCTTTTTTCCCCATTTCTATGATATTTTTGTGTTCTTATTGACTCACAATTATTTCTTTTGCACTTTTTTGGTTCTTTTCTTTTATATCTTTTTGATTTAAATATATGTTTTGTGGTTAGATGGGTCACAGTGCTCCAATGTGGAGCAGTGAGAAGCTGCTGCCTGCAGGCAGAGTTACTTTACAGCGCTGACTGCAGCTGCACCCTATTATGTAAGGAGCCACTGTGTAGCTATTATTAGCCTGCTGCTGACATGCTGTGTAAATGTTACTTATGTAGTGTGGACACAAATCTGTTTACACCATTACGCACATATATGAATCCTTATATTTCATAGTTGAGACCTCTGAAGTGTTGCAGTCGTGCTTACACGTGTAGATGTGTCTAAAAGTGTTTTTGGATTTATGCTAGAAATATTGTCTTTCAAACATCTGGAGTTTCGAACCTAATTCTAGGGTTCAGGTCTTAGCATTAAGCAATGGGCAGCAGTTCCTCTAACAGCAATCTTCCCTGAATCGCTGACTGCATTGAAATGAATGGAAAACCTTGATTAGCCTAATGAATTAATGCTCTGCAGCATGATTGTTATTACTCATGTTAAGCCATGTATGACCCTTGTGACCCTTATTAGCACTGCAGGTATTTACTAAAATATAAAACACAAATTCCAGACTTCAGAGAAACCATCTTACACTGAATGATGGAAACGCTCTCAACTATTCATATTTTAATATCTATGGCTGCTTTCTCAGGGCTGTAGCACTTTGAAGCATAGTAACTGAAAAGTATAGGAATATAGGGCATTCTTGGAACACGCCCTGCAAACGCTGAAAAGTCTCAGTAACACAAACAAACGAAAAACCTGAAATTTAGGAATAATCCAGGCACTCTCGAATAGCCCTGGGAGGTCCGTAAAACGGACACACTATTCCCCCAAAACTGGAATAACTCTGAAATTTGTGCAAAATCGTGAAAAGGCATAAAAATTGCAAAAAGTTTGAAAAGCTCTTACAATTGTCAGAATATTTATCATAAGTCCTGTATTCCCTTGATTACTCAGGAATAAATCTCAAAGGCTTTTTAAGAGGAAGCCCTGAATTTTCTGGACAATTGATACAAATATTGGATTAACCCTGAAAATGTGGGACAACTCGAGAAGTCACTGATAACAATTTGGAAAATCCAGACACCTTAAGCTTCGAAAACTCTTGAATAACTCTCAAAAAGTAGTGTCCGAAACGCAAACTACAATTACTTAACAGTCAAAAGACTGGTATTATTTTATAGGATATAATTCAGACTGAAACCTGATGGATTCTTTACATCACTTTGAAGAATGAGATAAAAATGGTTTCAACACTTTTTGTTCCCAGCGTGTGTGGCGGTGAATGAATAGTTCGTGGTTCAGTTCTGAAATGACCCCGATGGTTTCACAGAGCCCTCGAGTAGGTCAGAGTCATGGCGGCGTGGTTCAGGATTCGGGTCATGTAGCCTTCCAGTAATTCCCGAGCAGTGCAAACTTGTTGCTGATTACACACATTGTACAAATGAAATGTGGTGCTTTAGAATCGCGTCCAATCAGACGTCTCACAGGCCTTTCTGTCACCTGGAGGAGGATGCTGAGAACTAAACTCTGTGTTTCTGTGTGTTTCAGGACTGCTTCGAAGATGCCTTTGATCGGATACCTGCGTGAGTACACACACACATGCACACACACACACACCTGCAGTGCACAGACTGAGTGTGTGTGAGGATCGTTTCCTGTGTATCTTTCACTTTTAGTCACGCTCTGTGCTGACTGCTGGTTCTGCCTTTGTGTAGGGCGGGTAGCATGGATCTGCAGACTGCCATCCAGGAGACTCAGTGTGCTCTCAACCTGGTCCTCAACAACAAGTTTTCTCAAGCCCTGGATCTCCTCAAACCATGGTAACCACAGCAGTCGTTACCTCGCGCTGCTTCGTTACACCTCGCTTTCTCTAGTGTCTGCTGGAGTCGTAGCTCCCTGTTATTAATGACTGCTGCTGTGCGCAGGTGGAGGGACAGCATGTACCACGCTCTGGGATACAGCAGCATCCTGGTGATGCAGGCGACCATGACCTTTGAGCACAGAGACATCCAGACTGCCATGGCAACCATCAAGGAGGCGTTGCACACCTGTCAGAGGTGAGAGGCAGGAAAACATGGTCTTCTTCCTGTTTATAGCCTTAATATTTCTGGGCGAGGAAGCTTTTCAGTCCATTCACAACATGTAATAACGTAATGAAACAAACTGGGGTACGACCACTGTGGCTGCAAAAAGATTTCTGAGGCTGAAAAGTCTGGAAAAAGTGACTCATCCTTGAGCCCTGAATTGTCCAGAATAATAAAGAAAATCAGCAGCAGATAATTTCATTTTCTTCTCCAATTCTGGCGCTGAATCAGAGATTGTGTGTGCGCAGTGGCACTGCAGTGAGTAACTGTATGAATGGTGACCGGGCTGTGTGGCTGCATCATAATGGGCACGTTCAAGTCTGAAAAGTGAAGCCAGTGCTGAAGTGCCTTAAATACACATTCCTGTTCGCAGCCTGCAGGAAGCAATAGCTGTGGTTTCAGAATAACATGCAGTTTAAAGAACTCTGACAGAGCAGTACGCTTGCTGTGTGGCTTCTGAAAACACTTTCCCAATGAACTTATGGGCTTCAGTTATTAGTTTCAGGTCATATTAAATAAAAATGTATCCATTTTGTAATTTTTTGTTCATTCTAAGTTTCATGAAGGAGAATTATCAAAGATCTACTCACTGGCTGTTGATTTGACAAGTTGTTATCTAGATTGTCAGGCAGCCAGTCCCGAACACCAAGAAGTTCAAGGTGAAAACGCGAATCTAATCTCCAGGCTTCACAAACTAATGGCTGACGCCACAGTGGCTACCTCCGTCTTTTAAGCCATTTATGATATTAGACAGCGGTCCCCAACCCCCGGGCCACAGACCGGTACCGGTCCGTGAGTCATCTGGCACTGGGCCGCGAGAGTTGAGGCTCGGGTGTGAAATTTATGGTTTTTATTGGTTTTATTGGTTTTTCTCGTTGTTTTTTTAGCGTTATTGTTGTTAACTCTGTTTCCCTGAGTCTTTTCCCGTGTGTTATGAATAAATCTTCCTTTTTTGTACCGGTACTGGTTTTATTTTGTTGTATTTATCCGCAACACCTTAAAGGCCGGTCCGTGAAAATATTGTCGGACATAAACGGGTCCGTGGCGCGAAAAAGGTTGGAGACCACTGATATTAGATATTCTAGAATATTATATATACCGTAGCTTTGTGTTCCAAAAACGAGGGAGAAAAAATATGATTTCAAAAAGCTATATCACAATCACAATCTATATCAAGCAATCCTGTCTCTGCAGGGGAAAGGGAAAATGATCCTCATAGTGTTACAAGAAAACACTCAACAAAGGTTCAGTAAATGGGAATACCCACAGGAGGTTTTTCTACTAATTGTTTTATTGCAATTTTATACTTTATATACTTTTAGTTCTTCATCTCAAAGTCTCTTTCAAATGAGAACAATTAGGCCCCATGCACAGCAACGTTTAATGTCATCTCAAACTGCAACAGTAGAGGCTGGTTAAATATGAGATTTAACGTCTCCTCGTTGTTTCTCTAGGTTCAGGAAGAAGAACTCGATGGTCGGATCTCTGTCCGGGCTGATCAGCAAGCAGTCCAACCTGCAGGAAGGTTTGTAAACACATGCCCACACATCACTCCACTGACGTCTACAGAAAGTGAAGAAAATTTAGAGAGCTGGAAGTCAGTGTGCTGCATTGGTGTGTTTGCAGGAGAGATGCACGCAGAGCTTTGCTACGCTGAATGTCTGCTGCAGAAAGCAACGCTGACGTTTGTACAGGTCAGAAATGCTGTCTGCCTTTAACTTCACCTGTGTGCCTGCTCACGTATTTGCTTTCGTTTCATATATATTTCATACGTAACCTTAGTTGAAAGCCCCTTTAAAGCGCAGTTCCCGCAGTGGCTGCTAAATGTTCCTCCTGTGAATGTGTAACAACATTAAAAGGCAGAGAACCTGAAGTACAGACGCTTTGAGTGTTAAATTAAAGATTAAAAATTGCTTCCTCATCAATCGTAGCTTGACGCCTTTCACAACCTGCATGATAAGATGGAGCATTAATGAAGGGTGATTCAGGACGCATGATGGGTCGTCCACTGTTTTTCAGGTCGGGTTCAGTTAAACCTTCTGGTTTGAGT